TTGTGTTCTCCTCCTGGACCGGGGCATGAACCCATGTCCCCTTCATCAGCAGGCGGACTCTCAACAGCTGCACCACCAGGGAAGCCCGGAAGGCAGATTCTTAACCACTGGACCACCGGGGAAGTCCTATGATTTTTTAATTGTAAAGATTTGTTGCAGAAATGTTTTTAACTACAGAAAAAAATTTAAATTACCCAAAACATTCATGTTGATCTTATGGGATGTGTATGTGTGTTTGTAGAGAGAAGCAGGTATGTGAGAGAGAGAGCAAGAGATGGATTTTCTAATACATGGTTCCTTTTTCCGCCATCATTGTGACCACGTGTATAGTCTGCTTTTCCCTTGACCTTTACCATAAGAACCTTCCCCATGTCATCCCAGACCCTCTGCAGGTCTCATTTTTTGTGGCTACATAATATTCCATCAAGTATAAATATGATTATTTACTCACCGTTCCCCAATTGTCAGACTTTCAGGTTGGTTCCAGTTTGAGGCTGGATGTTCACCATAGTGAACACTATATCTATGTGTGAAGGTGACTTGTTTGCAAAGGTGACACCAGCCACAGATGGTTCTCTGTGCCCTGGGGATGGGGGCAGTGAGAGCTCTCATTCATAGAGAACTTGGCCTGGCTGACCAGAGCTTCCTTTCCTGCCCCTCTGATTCTTAGGCCCCCTTTCCCATCTTTGGCCTTCTGGCTGGGTCTTCACCAAGCATTGGAAATGGCCACTCCTTCCCTTCTTCAGCTCAGTACCACACAGCATCCAGGGTGCATCTCCGTGAGCGCCCCCTAGAGGCCAGTGGGGGGAATGCTGCTGTCTGTCCAGCCTGGGGCACTTCTGAGCCTGTCTGTCATCCTCTTGCCCCAGCCTGCTGCACAACTACATGATCGGGAACCTGGTGCGCTGGCTGACCAGAGCTTCCTTTCCTGCCCCTCTGATTCTTAGGCCCCCTTTCCCATCTTTGGCCTTCTGGCTGGGTCTTCACCAAGCATTGGAAATGGCCACTCCTTCCCTTCTTCAGCTCAGTACCACACAGCATCCAGGGTGCATCTCCGTGAGCGCCCCCTAGAGGCCAGTGGGGGGAATGCTGCTGTCTGTCCAGCCTGGGGCACTTCTGAGCCTGTCTGTCATCCTCTTGCCCCAGCATGCTGAACAACTACATGATCTGGAACCTGGTGCGGAAAACAAGCTCCTTCCTCGATCAGCGCTTTCAGGACGCCGACGAGAAGTTCATGGAAGTCATGTACGGGACCAAGAAGGTGAGCACCTGCCGTGCACCAGGCCCTAGAACTCATGAGGAAGGTAGATGACAGGCAGAGGATGAAGAGGGCCACTGAAGGGATCTGCCATGGTGTCCCTGGGCACACAGGAGGGGATCTAAGCCAGCCAGGGCTGGGCAGAAGTTTCCAGGAAGAGGTGATGACACCGTCTTCAAGTGTAAAGAGGACTCTCAGTGATTTAGCTAATTTACAGCAAAAGGTAGCTTCTGGGCTTTCCCTTCCGACTCCTTCTCGATGGTGATGGTGATAAGGCTTTCCTTGTGTAACTCATGTGACTGTCACATCCCTGCGAGGTGGGTATGATCATCAGCCCCCTCTCACACAGGGACCCCCCCAATAATACTGCTTGTTCACCATAAATGCAAAACCCTTGGAGCAGCCCCTGACTCACGGTAAGTACGACACGAGTGTCCACTGATACTATTATCCTCCCAAGCCCCCGACCAGGTGGTTTCCCCCAGCTTTATTTTATTTTATTTTATCTTTTAGTATTTATTTATCTTTATTTGGCTGCGCCGGGTCTTAGTTGAGGCATGCGGGATCTTTTTTTTTAGTTGCGGCATGTGGGCTTCTTAGTTGCGGCACACATGTGGGATCTAGTTCCCCGACCAGGGATCAAATCCAGGCCCCCTGCACTGGGAACCCGGAGTCTTAACCACTGGACCACCAGGGAAGTCCCTTCACCAGCTTGAAATGCCCCACTGTGACCCCTGCCCTCCAGCTACTTGCACCTCCCCAAGGAAGTGGAGGTCATTGTGTCATTCACATGGCCAGCTAGTGCGTGTTCACTGATGCCCTGCCACCATGTGCCAGACTCTGAGCCCAGTACGGAGACACTGAGATGGGGTCTGTGCCCCAGGCCCCCACGTCTGCTGAGGGGGCTGAGAGAAACCGATCAGTCCTCACGTGCTGAGGGGATACACCAAGCCGGGACCCCTGCAGGCAGCTAGGAGGTGCCCCAGCCACAGAGCAGTGGAGGCTGGAGTGCCAAGCCCCCCTACCCTGGCACACCCTGCCCACGCCCAGGACTGCAGCTAGCAAGACCCCGGGGGGGCGAGCAGAGCTGACGCCAGGTGGACTCTGCTCCTGCAGCCCCTCCCAGAGTCCAGGGGAGTGAGCAGAGCCAGATGAGGACTGGCAGAGAATGGCAGCATGTGGGCCCTGGAGTTGATCCTGGGGAAAGTTCTGTCTCTCCCTCCCCTTGTACACCCACCTCTGGCAGGAAGGGGACAGAGGGAGAGGGAGGCTGGGAACAATCCCTGCTCCTGACAGGAGGGGCTTGCTCAGCCACGAAGCTTGCCCTGCCCTCCTTCCTGCCCCACCTGCTGCTATCTTGGACCAGCCCTGGGTGAGTGCCTGGGTCACAGACGCGGCAAGGCAGGGACTCTGTCCCCTGAACACGTGGTCTCCCAGGAGACTTTATATGGGAAGGGCCTGACCAGGACCCGGGATGGTAGTTACAGAGACGGCTCTGTGTTGGGAGCACACACCTCCATCTTCACTTTACCCCAACCCTGGGTTACAGATGAGGAGACAGAAGCTCAGTGAGGTAAGGGGTTTCCTTAGTCACCCAGCAAGGAAGCAGCCAAGCTCAAATTCACACCCAGGTCTGGATGACTACAACTTTTGGCACTTTTGGCTACTCACTATTAGTGATGATAAATAAGCTATATCATCACTGGATGTTTACTTTTTATAGGCATTATCTCACCAAGCTCCTACAACAGTTCTGTGTCTTGGAAACTGTCATCATCTCATTTTACAGATGAGGCAACTGAGGCTCAGTGAGGGGAAGGGACTTGTTCAGTCACACAGCTTGTAAGTGGAGTGGCTCTCAAACCCAGCACGTCGGATTCCACAGCCCGTACCCCAGAGCTCTGCACCACTCAGCCTCTACTCTGCAGGAACCAAAAGTTAAAATTGAGCTTCCTGGTGGTTGCCAGGGGCAGCAGGTGGGGAAAGGAGAGTGGGGAGTTGTTGAATGGACGGAGAGTTTCAGATTTGCAAGATGAAAAGTTCTGGAGATTGGTTGTGCAGCCAGTAGATATAACACTACTGGACTGTATACTTAGAGTTCCCCGGACCAGGCTCAATGTGCAGCTGCTGCGCTGGCTAACGAGGTGCTGAGAGCTGGTGGGACACAGGAAGGCCTTGGCAGAAGCAAGGGCAGCTGGGAGACTCTGGACGTGGGAGGCTCTGAGCTGGGGCTCACTAGATGCCCCGGGGCTGAGGGGGGAAGACACTGCTCATCTGTTTCTCATTCTCTGGCCCTCCCCACTCCCCACCATGGCTGCTTCTGGGTCCAGGCCAGGTCCGTCCAGCTTGCGTCCCACACAACTCAAAGCACAGCCCTGCCGTGTGACCTTGGGTAGTCTCCTTCCTGCCCCACCTGCTGCTATCTTGGACCAGCCCGGGGTGAGCGCCTGGGTCACAGACACGACAAGGCAGGGACTCTGTCCCCTGAACACGTGGTCTCCCAGACTCTCTGAGCCTCCGTTTTCTCATCTGTTGTTTGGGATCATCCCTGACCTCATATCACAGGACCCCTGGGAATGGCCTCCATTTGGGAAAACACTTTTAATTTGTAAAGCCTTATAGAGCATCCAGGTGTCCATCCTCGTAGGGAGGTAATAGCACAGAGCTTTGGGTCAGAACTTCTGAGTTTGCAATGCTTCCTCTAACCATACAGCCTTGGGCAAATCACTTCATTGGATCAGGCAGCTCAGTCTTCCCATCTGTAAAAAGGGGTAATTCATCACTGCCCTATTTACCAGAGGATTGTCTGAGATTACATGAGGGAATCCCTACAAAGTCTGCTGTAAAGGCTGCCATACTCCACACCGTGTTCTTCATCTGCAGAAAGGAGCACAGAGAGTACCTACCTCGTAGGGTTAACAGCGGAGGATTCTGCAGGGTAGGGCCCCACACCCAGTAAATGCTTACTAAACATTTACTACTATTGCTGATGCTGTTATGCTTTTTATGCATCTGTCTCTCCCCCGAATGTTCTGGGCATTTCAACTGAGCCCAGAGGGCAAGACCTAGCACAGTCAGGGCACAGCAGAACTGCTCAGAGAACACTGGCTGTGTGAATTAATGAACGCGTGCGTGAATGAACGGGTTTATGCGAAGAATCCCCTGAGAAGACAATAAAAATCAGTCCGTGATTCAGCCGTCCCAGCCTGGAGCCCCCACAGAGCCCAGGAGTTAGAATCCCCCTGGGCCCAACCTCCTGCGGGGTCAGGCTCCGCCAGATCCAGGTACAGCCCGTGTCCAGCTGTAGGCTTTGAAGCTAAGGAAGAGCAGTGGGTGGGGTTGGGGGGAAGAGAGGGGCGGCCAAGTGGACACATGGCTGGGAGAGTTTAAAAGAACTTAGAGGGGCTTCCCTGGTGGCGCAGTGGTGGAGAGTCCGCCTGCTGATGCAGGGGACACGGGTTCGTGCCCCGGTCCGGGAGGATCCCACATGCCGCGGAGCGGCTGGGCCCGTGAGCCATGGCCGCTGAGCCTGCACGTCTGGAGCCTGTGCTCCGCAACGGGAGAGGCCACAACAGTGAGAGGCCCGCGTACCGAACTTAGAGAAGGCTGGAGTGCCTTTTTCTTCCTTCCTTTCTTCCTTCTTGCCTTTAAGAAAAATTTTTAAAAGGTGTAATTTACACACAATAAAATGTATACATTAAATATACAGGATAGTGAGTTTTGACAAATGAAATCACTCCTGTAACCACCAACCCAATCAAGACAGAGAACGTTTCCATCAGCCGTTTGTCCAGCGTGCTCTGCACAGGAGGGTCCCTTGCCCGCCATTCCCATCAGTCCCCCCAACCCAGCGTCCCCAGAGGTGGGCGTAGATGGGACCACACAACTGTGCGGGCTTCTTTTGCTCAGCAAAACGGCTGTGAAATTCATCCATGTTGTGTACATCAGTCGTTCCTTCCCTTTTGTTTCCAAGTCGTGTGCTGTTGTATAAAAATACCACATCTTGTTTATCCATCTGCCTGTCGATGGGCATTTGTGTTGTTTTCAGTTGATGGCTATTAGGAAGCAGGCTACCCTGAGCCTAGGTGGTTTTCACCACCTGCTTTTCAGGGTTAAGAAGACTGGGCTTCCTCTGCAGCACAGGGGTTTATGTGAGCAGGGCCACCACTTGTGGTCATACGGACTGTCCACAAAGGCTGCCAGGGCAGGGGAGCAAGTGGGGCTGAAGCCAGCGCCTCACCGGGGGGTAGAAAGTTAACTGCCCAAGGCTCTCTGCCGCCAGGATCCTCATCCTCTTCCAGGAGGGGCGTGGGGTGTGGAATCAGGCACGTGAGAGTTCCGGTGGCTGGGGGGGCCTCTGGACCAGCGGCTTCCCCTTGCTGAGTATCTGTTTCCTCATCAGGCTCCCAGGTTCATTTTGATGGCTCCGGAGGATGCCATCAGCATCTGTGCAGTGCTGTGCAGGAAGTGGTAGATGCCGGTGATTAGGGCTATCCCGTGGCCTCTTGGTCCAGTGCCTAAAATAACTTCCACTGGGTCAGAAAAGGTCTCCCTCAAGTTCTGGACAGAAGCACGGGCCTAGCTGGTGCCTCTGCCTCCCAGACAGACAGGGGCTGGGAAGGAGGATGGGGGCCAAGTAACGCCCCCCCTGACTTGTGTTTTCCAGACCTGTCTTCCTCGCTGGAAGTTTTGCGTGAGTGACACAGAGAACACCCTGGGCTTCGCCCTGGGCCCCATGTTCGTCAAAGCGACCTTCGCCGAGGACAGCAAGAACATAGTAAGTGTCTCCCTGTGCACACAGGCTGTGACATCACTCCTGCGATGGCCCCTCACGAGCCTGACAGCCCACGCTCTGGTCTGCTCTGGAACTTCCCTACCCCAGGCCAGGGCTCCAGCTTTAACTGCAAGGTCCTGTTTTCTAAAGACTTGAATAATCTGAGTTATGCACAATAGCTACTATGATCGGGTACCAGGCACTTTATCTGTAGTAGCTCATGTAACCCTCACCGCAGCCCGGCCAGGTTATTCCAGCCATCTCCACCTCCAAGGGGCAGGCAGGACCCAGAGAGGTAATGTTGACAGAGCGCCCTGACCTCGAGAGGTGACAGACAGAGGAACCTCATGGCTGAGCACCAGGAGACAGCCAGGCCCCAGCTCAGATCCTGGCTTTACCTCTTCCTGGCTGGGTGACTTGGGATAATCTCACTCCGTGAACATGGAAGTGGGAGTGTCCATCGTGCCAGTGGAGACTAAATGACATAGTGCATGCAAGAGGGCACCTGGCACAGAATAAGGGCTCAATAAATGGTAGCTGTTGCGTCGTTGGTACCACTTTTATTTCTAACTTTAACTGTATAGATATTATTTGCAGTCAGAGATTAGCAAACTGAGACTCAAATCTATTACGTGACTGACCATGACCTGCCTGTTAGTGGCTGATGCCATCAGTCCCTCTGCTCTTTCTGCTGCCCGACTCCACCTTCCCCTGCCCTAGAGTCTTCAGTCTCCAGGTCTGCTCTCGACATTATCACCCTCAAAAGCAGCCATTCATCTCCAGCCCAAGCAGAGCATTTCTGAAACTGCTCCTCAGAACTCAACCTCTCTAGATTTTAAAGCCCAGTCCATCAGAAAGGAATTCTGTGGTCCAGTACATCTGAGAACAGCTACATATTCCAGCATCTCTAAAAAGAGTTGCAGTGCCTGGTACCCAGTAAAGGCTCTGAAAAGTCCCGCAGCAAAGAGACTTTTCCAACGTTCCCAAAGCTTGCCCTGAGTGTATTTGACCAGGGAGCCCTGTTTACAGAAGTCCAGTCTCATCTCACAGGATGTTAGTGTTCAGAGGAACGAGTTTGGGGGAACATGGCTGTGGTGCCCCTCCTTAGCCCAGCACCTTAGAGCACAAGGCCTCGAGCCAGGATCTGAGTTTAGTCTCTGGCCTGGCGTCATCCTTGTCCCTGGGATGCCCACTGCCTTTAGGCAAGTCCAGTGCCCAGACCTGACTGGTTCAGCTGCTGTCTCCTCAGGCCAGCGAGATAATCCTGGAGATCAAGAAGGCGTTTGAAGAGAGCCTGAGCACCCTGAAGTGGATGGATGAAGACACTCGGAAATCAGCCAAGGAAAAGGTGAGGCTGGACGGGTGCTGGGAGGGGTCCCTCACAGAGGGCAGCAGCCTCAGAGAGACGAGGGTGGATGAAGAAGGGACTAGTTTTATCCAATGAGCGCAGCACAGTTGCTGTCCTGCCTTCAGGAGGTGGAAAGTCCAGCACGATGGAGGGACAGCCTTGAACACATGATCGGATTAATGACTGTATGAAAACAAACTGCTAAGTGTGCAAGGGAGGTGTGACCATGGATGAGACGTGCCTCAGCAGGGGGTGGTGACTAGGGAAGGCTTCCCTTGGGACATGACATTTAGGTAGAGACCCCAAGGATAAGTGGAAGTTAGACAAGACGAAGGGACGTGAAAACTCTGAGATGGGAGGAGCTGGGCCATTTCCCCTTGGCCCAGACCCTGAGCCCGGCACCCACAGAGCACTGCTGGGCGTTCACTGTCCTCTGTGTCTCTCCTGCCCAGGCGGATGCGATCTACAACATGATAGGCTACCCCAACTTTATCATGGACCCCAAGGAGCTGGACAAAGTGTTCAGTGATGTGAGTGGCTCCCACCCTGCCCCCTTACATTCCTGAATACCCATGGGGGGGGCCCCACTTGGGAAAGGGCAGAGGCTGGGTCTGGGTGGGCCGCTGGAGGCATCATGACTGTCAAGACATCTGGAGATGATGTGGTGTGGGGTTTGGGTGTGGACCGCGAACTAAGGAGCCGTTATCTGCTTCCTCTCCTGGGCCAGCCGGTGACCCCCGCCTCCCCAGAGCCGCTAGCAGTCAATGGCCAGCACAGCACAGTCAGCTCTACTGAATGAGTGGGAAATAACGGGGGAAAACAGATCCTAGAAGGTGTAGAGAGAATCGATGTCCCTAAAGCATCAGGGGGTGGAGTACAGAGTGGAACCCCTCATACACTTCCCAGCCCCCCGCGTTGCCTCCTATCCCCAGGCTTCTCCCCAGCCTCCCCAGAGAAACCTGGACCTCTCATTTGGACTTTGAAATGCGAATGAGAAAGAGGAAGAATAAATCCCAAAGGCACGTTTAAGCTTAATTTAGGCAACAAGCGTAGTTGATACATCCCTGGTGGTTAGACCTTTGGGCAAATCACTCTCTTAAACGGATTGTGCTTCTGCCCCGAAAGATAAAGTTTTATACCTTATAATTGAAATTTGTGAATTCAGGCATTTTAGAAATTGTAATCACCGCTCATCATGGTTATATTTAAAACCAAAGAATATTAAAACTGCTTCTGAGAATATGGGACTCATTCTGCAGCCTTTTTCCTTGAGAGTAATTTTAGATGCTCCAGGGTATCATGATATAAGACGAGGGGCTCCTGGAGACAGACCCCACAGGATTGGAGTCATGACCCCAAGGACCTAGCATTTTACCAGAGCCCTGATGTAAAGCCAAAAAGTTCTAGAGCAGATCTAAGGGAGAACCTTGCACCTGGCAAGAGCTGAAAGGCCGGGCTCTGTGGTGAGGAAGGTGTGCGGTAATGCCTGTCCCCTGATGTTTCACAGATCCCAGCTGGATTTATGAGGTCTGTGCTGGCCAGCGTGGTAGCTACTAGCCACAGATGGCTAATTAATTAAAATCAAAATGAATTACAATTAAATAAGTTAAAAGGTTGCACTAGCCACATTTGAAACGCTCAGAAGCCACATGTGGCTGATGTCGACCGTATCTGACAACATAGGCGTAGAACACGTCCATCATCGCAGAAAGTTCTGGACCCCACTGGACATATTTCCCACCTAAGGCCCTGGCATGGCTGCAGGGGCTTCCTGCTACCTTGAGACACTTTTGGGTGCTGGGCGGCCCTGGGTGAAGCTCTTGGTGTGTCCTTGGAGGGGGTGGGGGGGCAGGCCCCAGCAGGGTGAGGGCCAAGGGAAGAGCCCAAGCCTGCAGCCCTGAGCCCTCCGTTCTAGTCTCTGCCCTGCGGACCAGCCCCCTGACTGCATGGGGTCTCAGTTTCCTCGGTTTTAGAAGACACGGTTTGCATTCAGGGACCTAAGTGGGCTCTGACCCTGTGGCTTGCTCCCACCTGTCCAGTACACCGCGGTTCCAGACCTCTACTTCGAGAACGCCATGCGGTTTTTCAACTTCTCATGGAGGGTCACTGCCGACCAGCTCCGGAAAGCACCCAACAGAGATCAGTGAGTCCCCGGGCCTTGCTGGGAGGGCACGGGCTCCTGCAGGCAGGTATGGGGGCCCAGCTGTCCTTCAGCACGAGCAGGGTGCGGGATGTGACTGTCACGAGGGCCCTCTGAGGAGCGGGGCCGGCTGTTACCCCGCTCAGAAGCCGGGAGCTGAGATCAGCCCGAGTCTGTGTGCCCTTAGCGCCCAGCCTGTTGCCAGACGGAGCTTCGTCCCTGGAGTTGAGCGGGCCTGGCATCACCGCCCAGCTCCACCACTTCAGCGTTAGGAGCCTTTGCTTCATTATCTGTAGATAGGATGGGAGGAGCTTAATAGCCTCCTAGAAAACTCAGATGTCATCAGCCTAGTACTAGTTCTCAGACTAAACTCCCTCCATGCCTAAAACATTTTGCAGGGTAAATCTTAGAGAAAAGAGAAAGCAACTTCTTTGCCTCTGGCTCCCTCTTGTGGACAACAGGGGTTTGAATTGTCTTCAACCAGGGCTCTCCCTGAATGTACAAGAAGGTGGTCTTTGATCTCCAGAATAAGGCACAGGCACTGCCCCAGTGTTGTGAATTTATTTGAAGTCTTTTAGCTTAAAATTTTCCATCTAAAGTTAGTCTCCTACTCATTAATATACCCACCCCTTAATACATCTCTGTGAGACTTACTGGAGGAGACACAGTGATTGTCGAGGCTCTTGGAGAAAATATCCTTTCTGTCTCACTCCACTCCCCACTGGCCCTTCCCACCAGAAAAACCATTTGGAAGCCAAGTGTTTCATTACTATCTACCATCAGGGCCCCTTCTACATTCTTAAAATCACTGAACCCCCAAAAGCTTTTTTGTTTATGGGAGTTATATATATATATATATTTTTTTTTAATAAATTTATTTTATTTATTTATTTTTGGCTGTGTTGGGTCTTCGTTGCTGCACGCGGGCTTTCTCTAGCTGTGGCGAACGTGGGCTACTCTTCGTTGCAGTGTGCAGGCTTCTCATTGCAGTGGCTTCTCTTGTTGCGGAGCACGGGCTCTAGGCACGCGGGCTTCAGTTGTTGTGGCACATGGGCTCAGTAATTGTGGCTTGCGGGCTCTAGAGTGCAGGCTCAGTAGTTGTGGCGCACGAGCTTAGTTGCTCTGCGGCATGTGGGATCTTCCCAGACCAGGGCTCGAACCTGTGTCCCCTGCATTGGCAGACAGATTCTTAACCACTGCACCACCAGGGAAGCCCTATGGGAGTTATATTGATTTTTCTGAAAATTTTATGAAAAAGATCAATTTTTTAAAAAATTTATTGAGAAGAGAGGTATTGTTTTACTTTTTGCAAATTTCCTTAATGTTTGGCTTAATAGAAGACAGCCAGATTCTCACATCTGCTTCTGCCTTCAGTCTGTTACAATATATTGTTTTGAAATATATAAAGAAATTCTAGGACTTCCCCAGTGGTCCAGTGGTTAAGACTCCACGCTTCCAGTACAGGGGACACAGGTTCAATTCCTGGTTGGGGATGTTCCATATGCAGTGTGGCCGAAAAAAAAAAGAAAAGATAGGAATAAAGAAATTCTAGCCTCACGCAGACATGTAGTTAGAAAAGGGAGGGACCTTTGAACAGGCTTTTTGTTACATGTGCACATCCTTCGTTGATACTATTCCAAAACGCGACAGGTGTAACTTTCTTAAAGGTTAATTGCAACGCCCTCCGAAACCATATTCATAAACTTTTCATACTCTGTTACACTAAAATCCATCGGTCTGTCTTGCGCTTTGAATGGATCTTTTACCCCTGTATGATTTTGTAACACCGTGCATTGGTCATTTGGAAAACAATGCTTCACTGAATTTCACATATCTTCCAAACAGTAACGTATTCATTTTAGAATATCAAAAAAAATCCACATTTGGTAATATCACTGCTGACCTCCAGAGAGAAGTCTTTAAATATTGGGCAGCTGTCAAGTTCGTGGTGGCCGATACCAGTTTTTCAAAATTTTGCTTGAAACTTCAGGTTTTTGGAAACCTTGAATTTTTATCATTGGCAACAAATGGTGTCGGTTGTTTTCCTTGAGGTGATGAGCTCACTCTATTCATTTTCAAGGATATGTCTGTCAAACACCAGTCATCCTCTCAAGTACAAATGGTGTTCCATGAAAAAAACAGAATGCTTATGAGTGGTTCCCATCTGGTCACACATAATATTTAGAGACTTGTACTCAAGGGTCTAGATTTAATGAAGTTAATAGTTATGCTGCGTCATCAAGGATGTTCTTAAGTGAAAATGACTTTTTTTTTCTGGTGAAGAGCATGGTGACCAATTGAACAGCTGGTGCCACCAGCTTGACTCATCTAGGACGCCAGCAGTTTTACCCAGCGTTGCTTTTACACCATCAGTGGAAAGTCAACATGACGGGAAAGGCGAATAACATCTTAACATTATTATGAAAATAGTTTGACCTCACAGAACCCCTGAAAGGGAATTGAGGGATTCCCATCCCGCCAGGTATCCACAGAGCACACTTTGAAAACTGCTGACAAATACATTTTGAGCCTGGATTGTAATGACTTTTTAGTATGTAATGGTCCATTTTGTTCTTTTTTTTTTTCTGAGATGCTCAACATTTTTTTAATTTTGTTTTTGACCACGTAGCATGGCATGGGGGATCTTAGTATCCCGACCAGGGATTGAACCCGTGTCCCCTGCAGTGGGAGCGCAGAGTCTTAACCACTGGACCACCAGGGAAGTCCTGAGATGCTCAGCATTTTTAATAGTCAGTGAAATGAAATTAAACGTAAAATAAGATTTCACTGTACGCTTGCTAACATGGCTAAAGTTAATAGTTTCTGGGACTGTTGTGTGCTTGTGTGGCCTGGGGCCTGGGGTCAAGGGGAATCCACACTTTTAGGGGTCTTGACACTCTCCAGATGGGACGTCCCCACCTGCGCTCCCCCAGCAGGCTCTGAGCTTGCCCGCGTGTCTCGCTTGCAGGTGGAGCATGACGCCACCCATGGTGAATGCTTACTACTCGCCCACCAAGAATGAGATCGTGTTTCCGGCTGGAATCCTGCAGGCACCGTTCTACACCCGCTCTTCACCCAAGTAGGATGCTTCTGTTGCTCCCGCCCCGTCTCCTCCCCCCACCCATCAGTGGATCCCCCAGCCCAGCCCGGCCCTGTGGCCCGCAGCTGACCCCACGCGCACACCCACCTCGCTGAGAGCTCCTTGTCCCACCGGCCAGGAGATGTTGCCATGGAAACAACAGCCTTACTCCCTGTGCTTCCCTCCGGGGTCTCCGGGACCTGGGAAGCCCCTGCACGGTGGGAGCTTGGGGGTAGGAGCCACATATAGGGAAATTCCCCTCTAACAGCATTCTAGAACAGTCTCAGCTGGGAAGTTGGGAAGAGTGAGGACTCTGTCTCGGAAATGAAATCCACATAGGCCTGGGTCCGAATCCCAGGCCTGCTCTCTGCTGACTGTGTGGCCCTTGGGCAAAGTGCCTGAACCATTCCACGCCTCTGTCTGCTCATTTATAGAGTTAGTTACCAAGGCCTAACTCTTTGGGATGACCAAAGAGGACCGTGCGGTGCCACAGAGCACCTGGCACAGTGCTTGGCGTCCAGCAGGCACAGGCAGGGCAAAGCAGACTCACCAGGCTCTGACTGGCTCAGGGGCCTGGCTGGAGCCCTGCGGGACTCTGCCGTGTCTCCAGGCTGGGAAAGCAGTGGTCCCTCCCCACATGGCATCGCTCTCACCTTTGTGTCCTCCCCTTCAGTGCCTTAAACTTTGGTGGCATCGGTGTCGTCGTGGGCCACGAGCTGACTCATGCTTTTGACGATCAAGGTACAAGTTCCTTGGAGTCCCCTTCAGATGATTCCCCCACCAGCTTCCTGGCCCCACTGCATCTGCTTTTGCTCCCTTCACGTCTAAGGGTCTTAGCCTTAGAGACAGAAGGATCTGGGTTCATATCCTGGCCCGGCCACCTGCCAATTGTGTGGACCTTGGCAAGCCCCATCAGTTCTGCAGGCCTCTGTTTTCTGCTCTGTAAAATGGGCATGATGCTTGTGTGGTGGTTGTGAGGACAGGGCAGACTCACAGGGGAGCACCCTGCTCCAGGACGGTGTGCAGTGCCAGGGGTGGGTAGTCAGCGGGGAGAGAACATTTCTCCACCACTCCAGAGATTTCTCTGGTCCAACCACAGTCAGAAGAGTTAGCACCTCACCAGCTAATGTCCAGAATCTTCCTCATTGCCTCCTGCCTTGGGGACTCCAAGGCCAAGGAGGAGGCAAGGCCTTGGAGGCCGGGCCCTGTCCCATGACCCTAGCACTGCTGGCTGCGTTCACCTCCTCCTGGCTCAGGGTCAGAGGCCCTTCACCAGCCTTGACAGTGAATCCAGCTCCACCGAAGCTTCGAACATGCTGGTCCTTTGCTGAGATCAGGTTCCTCTACCCCCCACCCCCACCCCAGCAGCTGATTCATGCAGCTCCTTTAGCACCCAGACCGGCCTCATCTCCCCGGTGCTGGGTGGTAGATGGGTGGATCATTTCTCCCTGGGAGGAGAGGCACAACCAGCAGCACGGATCCCGGCTCTGCCTCTTCTACCCCTGACCTGACACTTCTGTCTGACCCCGTAGGACGGGAGTATGACAAGGACGGGAACCTTCGGCCCTGGTGGAAGAACTCATCCGTGGAGGCTTTCAAGCAGCAGACCGAGTGCATGGTGGAGCAGTACAGCAACTACAGCGTGAACGGGGAGCCGGTGAATGGCCGGCACACCCTCGGGGAGAACATTGCTGATAATGGGGGCCTCAAGGCGGCCTATCGGGTAAGAGGCCCCCTCCTCACACACCCCGGGCCAAGGTTGGGACTGTCCAGCTGCTTCTCAGTTAAGGGTGGTTGTAGACAAGCTGGGGCAAGCGAAGCGGCCCTGCGAGCCTCAGTTGCCACATCTGTGGAATGGGTGGCAGTGAGGACTGATTGAAAGGGTGTCTGTGAAGCACCTAGCACGGAACTGGCACATAGAAGGCTGTCTGCTCTGAGTCCAGCCCGACTGAAGGTCACTAGAAAGGGCTTGGGCTAGACCCACCTGAAGACCTGCCTGTTCTTCCCTTTACAGGGAAAGCCACCACTGACTCAGGCAGCAGTGGGCCCGGGAAAGGAGGGAGGGGTCAGTGGTCTTGGAGCCACTTCCGGCTCACGTCCTGGTTCTGGAGTAAGTCACTCAGCCTCCTTGAGCCTCAGGATGCATGGCTGTGGCTACCTAGTCCCTGCATCGCTGGGTGTTAGAAAGATAGCATGTGACCACTTGGGCTCAGGGCCCGGTCCGGAGTGGCACTCGGAGATGTTAGCTGAGTTGGAAGGGAGATACCAGAGGCCAGTGCAGAGCCTCCAGCTCCCCATGGTAGTGAGAGCAGAAATCCTGCGAGGTGCCCGGTATTGAGGCCTTACTGTGCGCCAGGCGCTGTGCTCAGCGCCCCCGACAGCTTTACAATTAGGTGTCACACGCCCGTTTTGCGGGTGAGGAAACCAACCCAGAAACATTCAGCAACTTGCCTGACGTCCATTAGTCAGTGAAAGGGAATCGCGAACTTTCTACCCACCGTGTACTGTTGTCGGCGCCAGAGATTCTGTGACAAAACAGACAGGGATCCTGCTGTCCTAAAGCTCACAATTTTAATGGGGTGGGGAGGGGGAGGAAGGCAATACATACCTACACAAATAAATGAGGTAACTTCAGGTATTGATAAGAAGAATATAAACTAGGCCAAAGTAATAAAGGAAAATGGGGGGAAGGATGGCCAGGGGAGGTCTTCTGGAGGGGGTGACATTTGAATTGAGACCTAAATGATGAGGAAGAGGCAGGGAAAGCTGGGAAAGAAGCGTAATTACGGAGGCCATGAGATGGACCCAAGCCTGGCGTACTCAAGGACAGGAAGGAAGACGGGGGGCAGCGTGGAGGGAGGGCAGGGCCCAGGGCGGGGGAGAGGCCGGAGGAGCGGCTGGACCAGGCTGCCGGCCTCTGCCGGCTGAGCAAGGAGCTTGGGTTTTATTCTGGCAACAATCAGAGCCACTGCAGGCGTTTTAAGTAGAGGAATGAAATGGTCTAAGTTATGCTGTACGACAGGGTTAACGGACCTACAGTCCCTGGGCCACATCCAGCCCTCAGCTGGATAAATCAATAAAAATAAATAAAAATTGGGGGGGACACAGCCATGCCCATTCGTCTCCATGGTGCCTGTGTCTGCTTTCACACAACAGTGGCACCCTTGAGATGCTGCAGAAAAGAGTGTTTGGCTTCCAAAGCTGAAAATATTTACTCTCCGGCCCTTTACAGAAAATTTTGCCAACCCCTGCTTTATGCGGATGACTCGAATTGCTGAGTTGGGAGGGGATTGGAATTGGACCAGTTTGAGTCACAGAGACTAGTTAGAAAGCTGCTGTGAGGTTGTCCAGGCAAGAGACAGGATAGAGCAATGGGAAAGGTGAGAAGTGGTTGGATTTGCGTTGTTCGGTTGATTGAAAGAGAAGAATCAAGGAAGAGTCCTGGGGTTTGGGCCTGAGTAACTGGGTGGTTGGTGATGTCACTTACTGTGATGGGCAAGTGATGTGTGTGTGTGTGTGTGTGTGTGTGTGTGTGTGTGTGTGTGTGTGAAGTTTGGCATGCATCTTGGATCTCCAGCTGGGGCAGTTGAATATACCCAAGAAGAGGCTGGAGCTAGAAGGGTGCATTTGAGAGCCGTCGGTATTTAGATGTGGATGGTATTCAAAGCCACAGTGCTGAATGAGCTCCCCTCAGAATGAGTGCAGGTAAGGAGGATGGGTCCTCTAGGCTGAGCGGAGGCCACCACCAGAAGCTAGCCCCTGTCCCAACTGGGTAGACCTTCCCCGATCTCCCATGGTAGCGCCCACCGCAGCCCGCGTGCTCCTGTGTCATGAGGACCCTGAGCTCTGCTCTCTGCCCCCAGGCCTACCAGAACTGGGTGAAGAAATATGGGGCTGAGCAGGCGTTGCCCACCCTGGGCCTCACCAATAACCAGCTCTTCTTCCTGGGGTTTGCACAGGTGAGTTCATTAGAGAAAAGCCAAACTCAGACACAACCTGCCATCTTGAGTTCCAGGAGCTCTGAAAATCAAAAGGCAAATTTCCTCAAATTGGGAAGCCCTAGCTCATTGGTCCGTCCGCAGGGCATTTACCCTGTAAGGAGGTGACCTTCATCATTAGAGAAATTCAAGGAAGGGCCAAGAATGCTGTTAGAGAAATTGCTGCATCAGGTAGGTGAGAGGACGAGGTGACTGCTAAGGTTCCTTCTGCTTCTGGGGTTCTAGCAATGTCTTGAAAACTCAAGACGTCCCGGGCTGTTCCTTGAGCTGGCATTCAGCATGTAGCCTTCTGTTGGTGCCCGGAGCCACCAGGCCATTAGACAGTTTGATCTGGACTCAAAGTGGTTTGGGGGCAGAATCCTTCGTTCAGGTGAAATGTCACGAAGATGCCTGGAACAGACAGAGAGCTGCTCTGGCTGCAGCAGAGGAAGCTGGGATGGGGTCCCACCAGCCCCTGTCTCTTCCTAACCCACTTGACAGGCTCTCCTAGCCCCCCGGGGGGGGTCTCAGAACCAGGCGGGGCCCTTATTTCCCTTCTGTGGTGATGGGGCCAGTCTGGCGGCCCCAGGGCCCCGCGGTGACCCCGGCCTCTCCCATGTCTCTCCCCCGAAGGTCTGGTGCTCCGTCCGCACACCCGAGAGCTCGCACGAAGGTCTCATCACCGATCCCCATAGCCCGTCCCGCTTCCGGGTCATCGGCTCCATCTCCAACTCCAGGGAGTTCTCGGAACACTTCCGCTGCCCGCCCGGCTCACCCATGAACCCTCGTCACAAGTGTGAAGTGTGGTGAGAGGGGTGGAGCGTCAAGAGCCAAGACGGAGGAAGCAGGGCAGGGGCTGAGGACCGCCCCCGGGGCGGGGCCAACAAGGCTGCCCACTCCTTCCAGCGCCCAGGGCGGCGCCCGGCCACCTCGGGCCCCCTTTCCCTCGCTGGAGGGTTTTCAGCCCGAACCAAGTCTGTGATGTGGGTTCTCACATTAATCCGAGATTTGCTCCCCTGTGAAGACCCGGTCATCCCAGGCACACGTGTGTCAACTCTGATGGGCATTTGGGTGTCAGGCTGGTTGCTCACCAGGCCTGGGCCCGATGCCGACACGGGCAGCGGGACACAGCCTCCTGCCCACATCCAGCGCCAAATAACACCACAAACACCACTGTGTCAGTGCTTTAAAGATGTATTTTTGGGGAAACTATTTTTTAAACATTGTGGAATACACTGGAAATCTTCAGGGAAATAACGCATTTGAAACACTTTTTTTTTTTTAAGGAAAGGATTGGTATATTTATTATGTTCTGTTTTTCTAAATAACCTGTGGACAAGCCCCACTGATTTACCCGCCTCGCTTCCTCACTTGCTGCAGGGTTGGGCTGAAGCAGGATCCCCAGCCACTGAGCAGGTCCCCCAATGGAGAGCTGCCTCAGTCCTTGGGGTATGCCGTTTCAGCCTCCTCCCCTGGTTCTTGGTCCCCTGGTGCAGAGAGGAGAGGCACAGAGGTCCGGCAGAGGGAGGGGCCAGCTCGTTGGTACCGCCCCCTCAGTGTGCCTGCCTCTGTCCCCAGAGTCCAACAGTGGGAACCCCAGCAAGGAAGATCTGACCCCAAAGTCACAGCAGGGGAATGATGGCTGCATTGAGGCCAGGTCAGGGCCCTCAGACCCTGTCTGGAGGTGCCCGAGCACCCTGGATCCGGGTCACAGGAGCCCTGTGAGGCTGAGACATCCCCGTCAGGTGTACTCTGCTATGCCATCGGTGTCCTCTTTCCGTCTGCCCTCTTTTGACTGCCCCCTGTCAGTCCCGGGGCCTGTTGCCTCTCTGCAGCATCCTGCCATCCCAGCCACTTTGGGGTCTCTGCCTTGCAGACCCTCTTCTCCCAGGGAAGAGGGAAAG